TATATATATATATATATATATATGTACAAAGATGAAACGAGAAGTGGTTTTTCGGAAAAAATCGAGTTGCCCTCGTGAATTTTCGAATTGGTGACACCAACCCGTCGTCAGACGAAATGAGGATAAAGGATAGAGTGAGACAATCACACTATACTTGTAGACGCGACAGGATAAATACTGATTGACGGACCATCAGCGTATGAGGAGTGATGCGAGCAGGGATTGATGCTGGGCTCTTAGACGGGGGGCAGGAAGGGGGAGAGAGGGAACAGTTACGGCTCCCCTTGTTGGAGAGTAGGGAGAATGGTAGGTTGTCAGAACTGCGGGCGCTTGGATTAGCGGCTGCTGATCCGGCGTGGGGCTCGGCTTAGTGAGCCGTGATCAGAATTGTAAGGCTCAGAACCCAGCATGAATCTTTGCCCGCATCCCTCCTCACACGCTAATGGTCCGCTCATCAATGTTTGACCTGTCGCGTCTACCAGTCTACTGTGACTGTCTCACTCTCTCTTCATTTCGTCTGACGACGGGTTGGTGGCACCAATTCGAAACTTCACGAGTACAACTCGATTTTTTTCCGAAGAACCTCTTCTTTTTTCAAATATCGTTGCGTCCGCAGGCAAACAGACAGCTCTGTCATGAGTTTGTCCACAGAGAGTCGTATAAATGAACCATAGCGGCACTACGATAACGGCCGTATCCTTGCGTCGTCCATTGTTTCATCTTTTTAGAAGGTTTGAGCTGGATTTTCGTAGTTGTTGACGTGACACATCAAATGTCCTGTGCTATTTATGATGCGAGGTTGGCCAACAGCCCTCAGTCAACTATTTACTTAGAGATACTGAGGCCAACTCGCAGTTTGCCGCAGACGTCTTTTATTTTCCCAGCTATTTAGTATCGCGGCGCCCCGACGGGTGGACCATTAGTGTGTGAGTGTTGATGCGGGCAGGGGGTCATGTTTGGTTTTGAGCCGGGAGGGGAGGAGGCGGAGGAGAGAGAACAGTTACGGCTCCCCATGTTAGAGGGGAGGGAGAATGGTAGGTAGTGGGAACTGCGGCCGCCTTAATTAGCGGCCGCTGATGAGGCGTGATCATAGGCCCTTATAATGGGAGTGTAGGTCAACGTGGCGGTTGATGCTGTCCTCGTTAGAGTGCCATGCCTCTAAGAATTCCCTCGCCCGTTTTGTGTTGACCGTGGGAATGACCTCGGTGTCATCCTAAATGAAACGTTGGTCGCACTGAAGTGTGTGTGCAAAGACGAGGGGCGGTTGGTCACGGCGACAGATAGCTTGTTCGTATTCATTAATTCGAGTTCCCAGGTATCGTCCTGTATGACCAAAATATACCCAGGGACATTGAAACACGGGATGCGATAGATGATAGTAGCATGCTCCTCCTTTGGGATAGAATCCTTTATTCAAGATAAGACTGTGCGCAGTGACGATGCAGGCTTGTGGGCAACGCGGATACCGAACCGATTTAGATGACGAACGATCATTTCCGAGGTCCCCTGCATATAGGGCAGGTAAAAGAATTTCCGTGTCACGATTTTTCAATTTGAGGAGGGACCTCGATGTTTTGCCTGATGTCAGAAGCAGCTCTTCACAAAATCGATCGGATACCCGTTAGACCAAAATAACCGATACAGATAAGCTAGTTCCTTCTCAAAAAATCGTCAATGCTGCAATAACGGTAGGCCCGTTGGAAGAGAGTTCGATCACAGTGTGATTGCCCTCATAATTGAGGATGATCTCAGAATCAGACTCTTCTATGGATGCTGGTTGCGAGATTACCGTCGTCCAGCCTCTGTATTTTTACGTCTCCTACTGCCTCTTCGCGGATACATTTTATGACTGGAATGACTTTATTCAGCCTCTGATGTGGCCTTTCGACTTCGCGGTTTTTTTTACGACTTACGTGTCGTCGACGTATTGGAGCCACATTTTGGGGTTGAGGGTTTAAAAAACCTCATATTCCGGTCGCTGTAGCACTAGTTCGGCGAGGAGGCCGGATTTTAGGGAGCCCATCGGACTTCCCTTCACCTGTTGGTAGTACTTATTGTCGAACTTCCAATAGTTCTTAAGGCAGAATTTGAGCAATTGTATGAAGTGCTGCGCTGGGATACCAACAGGATTGTCCTGTAACCGTTGGGCTACGCAGTTAATTGCCAAATCGTGCGGTATAGAGGAAAATAACGCAACGACGTCAAAAGACAAGAGGCATTTGTTAGTGTTTACATTGAGGCCTTCGATCCGGTTGAGGAATTCGTGGGAGCTGTTAATGCTGTAGCAAGATCCGTGAGTTAGCGGCTTCAGATGCATGTACAACCAGTTGACTAAATTTAAAGTAGGGGATCAGATGAGCGGTACTATAATCTTCAGTGGTGCACCAATTTTGTAAACCTTTAGGAGACCGTACGCGTGTGCAATATGGGGATCACTGAGGGTCATAAACTCTGTGGTATCTGGACCTATGACTTTCAGCCGAGCAAGCTCATTAATCTTTTTCTTGATGGCTGCGGCTTGCTTTTTCGTTGGGTCTTCGGAGATAATGATATAAGAACCCTAACAATGAAGATCATATTCGCCTAGTTGACGTAGTCAGTTTTGTCCATGATGACGGTATCGCCACCATTGTCTGCGGGAACAACAACAATACTGTGGTCCGATTTCACTGCTCGCAATCCTTGCGCATCTTCGGCCGGTAGATTTTGTTGGTGTCTTTTTACCAGAGGACGGCAGTGGCACAGCTGGGCGCTCTGCCGTGCATTGATAATCAAAGTACGCAGTCTGAAAGCAAGCAAAAACAATGTAAAAGTTCTCAGTATATAGGGGAAGGCATGTTCTTTCGTATACGTTAGAAAAATATTAGTATTGCTTAGGATCGTGAAAGAAACCGTCAAAAGTGTAAAATGTTTACTTGGTCTCTCCGTGCAAAAATGTTAAGTACACAGAGATCCGTCGGCGGATTGCAGTAGCAAAGCACTTCCGAGAGATTTATCTTATTAAGGAAAGTTTTCTTATTGATCGAAGACATATTCGTTGGTGTCTTTGGTTTTGGACAGTTATTTTTCCCGAAAATGAAGTTTGATGTTCGAATGAGTCTCCAAACTTGACCCAAACGACCATCGTCTTGAAAAGGAGCACCTAAACTCTCAGAAATTCAATAAATGCCTTCAAGAACAATCTTATTTTAACATTTTTAACAGACAGGTAATTCAGAGTCTATCTTTATGGGTGATCGGGTTAAAAGACTGAAAATCATAAGGTGTTCAACGATATTTTGAGGTCGATCTGAAACTCAACGCAGTCCCAAACGAAAGAAGAGTATAAATTAATTTAACGGAAGGAACGTTCTCTCTAAAAACACAAAATAGTATGTTTACGATCACGCCTGTCAGTTCTATTTAAATTTATTAGGTACCAGCCGGCCTCATGGCCTGTAACCTTATGAAAACTTGTTTAATTCCAACTCATTTAACTTTACGTCGTTAATGAAACAATGAAACACTGAAAAATTGATTTGAAATATACACCCAGAGTGTAGGCAGTTGACTAGCCGCCATATATGAAGTCACGCTACTTAGTAAACGATATTTAGATGTAAACTTCACTGGAACGCTGTTATTAGGCGTGGTTTTATGTTTACTTTCATATTTACTACCTGTTTGGTATGATAATACATTCTATACATCTAAAAACGAACTTCACTTAATTATTCATTTCTGACGTTTTCGGGATATTGCGCTTTTCAAAATAAATCGACATTTCTTAACAACGCAAGACTGCATATAATATTTATTTTATGTTTTTACTTCTTATAAACTTGTACTTAATCACCATAGACATTTGACTCATGAAATGGTGTCGGTTTGTGAGCGATTGACAATCATTCCTAAATTTCGACACTTTTCACGAGTTAGTTCACGCACTGTATGTCAAAATGCTTGTCTTTAGGTAGGACAGAGGTCAGTAGTATGGACTTAAGATCAGCTAGAATGTTGTTGACGATAGTTTACGGGAGATGGAGAATCCCTGTACCAGCATTAACTACAGCGTGCTGTAGTGTCTTGTGATGGTTTCTGATGGAGACACGACAACAGGCCAACTTCTTTCCTGGATAGTCTTGTCCTCGGACACCGAATTAGTTATCCAACATGCTCACCACCCTATGATGACTTGAGTCCTCAGCTATTACTTAAACAAAACGTACCCTGCCTGTAGCGGAGAAAATGTCGCGTTCAAGATGGCGATATAAAGTGGCTAGACAACCCCATCTTTAATATATTTGGTGTGGCGTAATCAGTTATCTGTATATCAGACAAAAATATCGAGATTGGAAAAGTCTGCAGTATCAACCAGCTGTGTTCACTGACCGGGTTCGAAGGTGTTTATGTGCCCCCACCTGATAATTGATTTAAGGCATCCAGTAAAACGACAAATTTTGACCCCTGGAAACACAAAGTAGACGCTGTTCGCCTTATGTCAGCCAAAAAGATCTTCGATGAACCAATTCCAAATTTTCTGATTCTGGTGAGCATTCTTCCCTCGCATTAAGTCGTCCCATTCGGCATTCCGCAGGGCTAACTATGAGGAGGGATTCTCGAAATATGTAATATATTTTGTTTCTTGCACGAAACGGTTGGCGAGGATTTCGGTAATGCTTTTGTTACTAATATCTATGGA